CTTGACCATACTCAGCTCATTACACAGCAAATAGGGGAACAGAATAATAATTCATGACAAGCAGCATGTTTAATGAACTGGCAGCAGAGATATTTGGCCAAAGAAAAGCAGAGGAACTTTGTCCTTTAAAATTACGAGGGGCTCCACCATCATCTGGCATCCGCTCAGTGTTGTGTCTGTGGTTAGAAATGTCCATGATAGGAACTCCTGGGATCTTCCGGATTCTTCGTTTAAGGTCTCGGTCCACTGTGGGCACGATGTAACACTTGTGCTGAGTCACTCTGTACTGAGCAGTCATCTGCATAGGTTCCTTTATGTGTGCATGGTCATCGTTCAAATTGGATCCTTAGCGATCCTTAGAGCCACTCGATACTTTTGCCCCAGTTTCTCAGTTTTAGCCATTACACAGTCAGTTATACAAGGGATACACCTGGCGTAGGACAGTCCATCATCGACTGCACCAAGTCCAGTCTGACTTTAATGGAAAAGTTGATATCAACCAGGATGTGGTAAGGTGGACCCAGCTGTGTATTATATTGAAAGGATAAGCAGGGAGGGTGTTGGGGGACGTCTCTTTCCTTCAGCGTGCTAGGATCTTTCTTTTCTTCCTTTTAGGTTTTAATCTATCCTTTTCTTTAAGCCTCTGATCTCTGAGACTGAGCATTCGCTTCGTGGTCGCATACTTTCTCGTTTTCTTTTGTTTCCCCATGCTCACGCCACATTCAGGTTTCTTCTCCTCTCGGGATCTTGGGCACACATTCACACATGCCCAGCGTGAGTTTAAGCCACCAGGTCCGGGATTCGAACCGCAGTCGACTGCGTGAGAGTCCAGCAACATAGCCATTATGCTAACTGCTGGTCTCGGTCCCTATTTATTTTAATTTTACCAGAGAGGAACAGAGAGAGAGAAAGGGAAAGTGAGAAAGTAAGCCACCAGGTCCAAGATGTGAACCACGGTTGGCCATGTGTGAGTCTAGCGCCCCGAACCACCACACCACCTATCAGCGTGATACTGGTAGTTTTCTAAAGTGGTTGTGTCATTATTTAAAAAATCCAGCGTACCATGCTAGGGGCTAAAGGATACACTGGTGGACAAAGCAAAGTCTGTGTCCCCATGAAGCTGATGTGGAAGGGAGATGGAAACACAGGTATACATCATTGTTATTTCATATATTATTACTATTATTTTTTAATTTGCCATAGGGTACATGAACCAGAGAAAGAAAGAAAGCCACCAGGTCTGGGACTTGAGCTGTGGTCAGCCATGTTCGAGTCCAGCGCCTTAAGCACCACACTAACTGCTGGCTCTTGGTTAAAACAGTTTAAAATAATTTACACAGCACTGTGGCTAGCAGTATCCATTTGAAGCCAGGTTATTTAGTGGTTTTGTTTTTGATTATTCAGGCTGTTGAAAACCCTACAGCTACAGAGATTCAAGATGTCTGCTCAGCAGTTGGACTCAACGTGTTCCTTGAGGTACAGTGTGATTATTTCTCCACCATTTTCCATACTCATCCTGTTGATGGGATTTTCTTAAAACCTATTTGGTTTTGTTTTGTTTATGTTAGAAAAATAAAATGTACTCTAGAGAATGGAACCGCGATGTTCAGTACAGAGGCAGAGTCCGGGTGCAGCTCAAACAGGAGGACGGCAGCCTCTGTCTCGTGCAGTTCCCCTCAACGTATGATTATTTCTCCACCATTTTCCATACTCATCCTGTTGATGGGATTTTCTTAAAACCTATTTGGTTTTGTTTTGTTTATGTTAGAAAAATAAAATGTACTCTAGAGAATGGAACCGCGATGTTCAGTACAGAGGCAGAGTCCGGGTGCAGCTCAAACAGGAGGACGGCAGCCTCTGTCTCGTGCAGTTCCCCTCAACGTAGCTGGCCTTTAATGGCGGGTGGGGGCGGGCGGCTCCTCTGCAGCACAGCAATCGAAAACTGGTCTTTCTAAAAGTTGTTTGTTTATGTGTTTGTATATATGTGTGTGTGCGTGCATGTGTGTGTGTGTGTACATATGTATATTAATTCTATACAGGGCATGTGCACTTGCCGGAGAGCATCCCCAAGGGGCATGGCCACACTGTAGTCCTTTCTCTGGATTTTCGGCATACGTGCTAGGTGTGTTTTTCAAGCTGCTGGGACCAAGATTCAAAGCACACAGTTGACCATGTAGGGTCTTACCTCCACTCCATCTGCTGGCCCAGAACTGAGTTATTTTTAGCCTTAAAGTAGATTTTCTTCCGGGACCAGCATTTGGCATAATGGCCACGTCACTGGACTTCTCGTGTAGTCAGCCACGGTTCGAGTCCCAAACCCAGTGGCTTAAACTCACATTGGGTGAGTTCAAGTTAACAACCTTTATGTCCTCAGAGTACACACTAAGCCACGCTTCTGGTTCCTAGGTAAGTCAGTCATGTTGTACGCAGCGGAGATGATACCTAAACTAAAAACACGGACACAGAAAACCGGAGGAGCTGACCAAAGCCTTCAGCAAGGAGAAGGAAGTAAAAAAGGGAAAGGGAAGAAGAAGAAGTGACTTGGCACGAGCGTCGAGTTCATGTACTGCCACAGGAGACACGAGTGGAGGGTTCTCATTCGTATCCGAGAGAAACAGAAGCTTTTGTTGCCATCATTTAACTGAACTCCGAACATCTGTGCCTCCATCTTTAGCTTTGGAGTTGACGGTGAAATAAGTTAACATCAGAAGTTTGCATCTAGCTTTTCTGGAGTATAGGAATTGTTTTGTCTTTCAATGATGAGGTTTTATGGAAGAAGTATTTTTAAATGGCCAATGAACTATGCCATAAGTTCATTGAAATCTGTATCTATTTCTCTTCTATGTAACATGTTTCAGGTAAATAAGTGTAATAAGACTTGAAATACATGTTTTGCTCACCTTTTAAGTTAATGAAATAAAAATCTGAAACTGACTCCTGTAGTTTTTGTGGATCGAGTGCTTACTGCCAGCAAGGGGTCAGTGAAGAGAGCGAGGTTACCAAGCCGTGAAGGCCGTGCAGTGTGGGTCTGCCAGACAGTGGCCCATCCTACGGGGGAGGGGGACAGTCTATTGATTATCTTCTTTTTCTAGAGACATCGTGCTCTCCATCAGGAGAGGGAGAGGAGGGGAAAGCATTCCTCCCGAGGGTCACACCACAGTCCCTTCTCCACTCCTCCCTCCTGTCAGGATTTGGGCACACGGGCACATTCATGTGCCCATTGTTTTTTCCAGGCTGCTGGGGCTGGGATTCAAACTGGTTATGTGGGATCCAGCTCTCTTAATTACTAGACCACAGGTCTTACCATACAATTTCTTAATCTGATATTTTTATGATCAGATTGTTCAGTTGCTATTTTTTTTCCCAAGAAACTAAATTGGATTGGTGCTTCTGAATTTATTTTAAAGCCGTATTTCTCAAAGTGGGGATTTTGAGCTGATTCCTTTTCTCCTGAAGCCTGGTTTAGCTCTTCTTCAAGTTCTGAGCTACTTGATAGACTTCGAATAAATCCTATTTAAGTTTTTGTTGCATGTAAGCAATCCCAATTGATTCCAAAGTCAACCTAGAGTTGTGGAGCTTTAAATGAGGTCGCACCCCCAGACTGTGAAGGTGATCCATAGATGTGACGAAGTATTAGCATTTCTATTTAATCTTTAACAGTTTATGCTATGTTTTATGCTGAACAGCCTCAACAGCATGCTGGTTGACAGTGCTGCCCAGTAGGCTGAGGCCACCCGGAAGGCCTGGGTTCGATTCCTGGCCCACCCTAAAAAGCTAGCCAGAGTGGCAGATGCCTGTAGTCCCAACTGCTTGGGAAACAGGCTGGCAGATCGCTATATACCTGAAACCCTGTCAAAAACAAAAAATGTGCAACCCAGAGGTTACGTATGGTAAGTGTGTCAGCTCTCAGTGACGCCATCTTTGTTTCTTTCCATGGCATTTTTCTAACATCCTTATGGTTGTCTCAAGCCCATAAAAGGGCTGATACCAAACATTTACATAAAAGTTCAAGGTGGGACCAGCAGGTGGCATAGTGGTTAAGGTGCTAGACTCCCACATGACCCACCACAATTCAAATGCTGTACCCCAGTGGCTTAAAAAGCATGCCTGGTGCATGTACATGCCCAAGATCCTGAGAATGGAGGAGAAGGGATTGCGGTGTGGCCATTCCCCCCACCCCAGGGGATGATTTCTCACTTTCTGTCTAGCTAGAGTACAAAACCCTAAAAAAGAAAAAGTTGGGAAGAAAAAAATTGCTTTTCCAGCCACTTCTGTCAGCCTTTAAAAGACAAGCAGAAGGGAACCAGCAGTTAGCATAATGGCTATGTCGCTAGACTCCCACATAGTCAACCGCGGTTCGCGTCCCGGACCCGGTGGCTTAAAACTCACGCCGGGCGCGTGTTCGTGCATGCCCCAGATCCTGAGAGGAGAATGGAGAAGGGATTGTGACGTGGCTATCCCCCCTGGGGGGGGGGGTGATTTCTTGCTTTCTGTCTCTCTGTCTCTGTCTCTCTGGCGAGCACTCGCGCCCTATAGCGAAAACCTCTCAAAAAAATAAATAAAATAAAAAGAGAAGCAGAAGACTTCTTAAAATCCTCCCAGCAGACTTTCTATTCAGTCCTTGAGAGCTGGGGCATTCGTCCATCTCTAACTGCAAGAGAGCCTGAGAAAGTGAATGCATAGCTTTTATCGTCCTGATAGTAGAAGCCGCTAAAGAAGGTGAAAATGCATAGATAGCCAACTTAAAACAATTCTCATAGATAACTGGAATCTAAAACTGTCACCATTTGCTTTTAAAGTAAAATCTAAGCCTTGGAGGACTTTTTTTTTTTTTTTTTAAGAATTATTTAAGTTTATTAATTTTAATTTGACCAGAGAGGGAAAAAGACAGCAAGCTACAAAGTACAGGATTTGAACCACAGTCAGCCATGGGGAGTCCAGCGCTCCTAACCACCATGCCACCTGCTGGCCTCTGTGGACAGACATTCTTAAGGGAATTGATATAATTGATTAAGTTATGGGCCAATAAGAATTGTCAAAAGATTTCAGAACTATTGTACCAATATATTGCTGTTTCTTAACATTGTAATCAGTGCATAGTTGGATTTTTCTTATACTAATCAGTGAATTAAAAGTGTTTTCTAATGAGCAAGTTTGGGCATGAACTCTTATGTTAAAATGTTTATATTTGTCAGTGAAGGAAGGATTTGTATCCTTTGCCACTTTTTGTGTGTTTGGGGGGAGGTTTGTTTTTATATAAGGTTTCACTTTGTCTTGATACTTATACCTCACCTTCCTCTGTTGCTGGGACCACAGCCATGTGTGTGCAGATACCTAGGGTGGGCTGGGAGTCATGCTGGCCTCCCCTGCAGCCTCACCCTGCTGCAAAGCGGTTCCAGCATGTGCCACCATGGCTGGGCCCGTTGTCTACTTTCTGAATACTTTTTCAGTTATACTTTGCACAGCTTAACTGATTAGTTGTCATAGAATAAGCTTTTGTTTTAGCCATTAACTATTATCTATAGAAGAGCATTTGGTTATCCTTCCTTCTCCCCCACCATACACAGGCATGCTTCCCATTTTACCACTCTACCAAAATACTGGGTTTTTGGAAGTCATGATGCATTTTGCATAGAAAAGCAGAAAAAAGACATCATGACTTTGCTGGCAACCCAATATATTTCCTAGTTTCCTTTTTCAGTACATTTCATTCATAGCCAAGCCATATAGTATCTTTGCTACTCAAAAGTACGATCAGGAGTCCAGAACCCCTGGTCCCCCAAGGAGCTTAGGAGAAACACAGTACCTCTGGCCCAGCCTAGAACTGAAGTGGCATTTAATGAGATCTCCAGGTGATTCCTATGTACATTAGAAGAACATGGAAATATGCCATTTTCTGGACTTCGAGTTTTCTTGGAAGCAGTTATTTTACTCCTTCATTTCCTTAGTTTTCTTTTTTTGTTTGTATTATACATTCAGTAACTGTATATCATTATAGCTTGCAAGGTGAATTTTCCCAGCATGAATACACTGTATGTTAGTCCAGTTAAGGGTATCATACATATTATCGACAGATAGTTTTCCATTTTTGTGTCCCTTAAATGTTTTACTGTCTTTTTCTTCTTGATTCATTTGCTTAGCTGTCTAAATATTTTTCACTAATTCAACCACAGATTATCTGTTGTAAAAAAAATTTGTTCACATAAGGTAATTTATTCATATATATTGGATTGTTGGAAAGGTCATGATGTATTTTTTATGTATAACCAGGTATGTTTTAAGTGCCAGAGGACATGTGCACTTGCCAGAGAAAGAGACAGAGAGGGGGAAAGTACCCCTCTTGTGGAGAGCAGTCACACCACAATCCTTTCTTTTGCATTTTTCCATCCTGTTGGGATTTGGGGCACACACACACTGGCATGTTTTCAAGTCATAAGGGCTGGGATTTAAACTCTGGTCACCCTGGTGGGTTCTGGCTCCTCTATGCACTGGGCCAATCCTCTTAGTATTTTTGAAGTTCTTCTGGATCCCTTTGCCTGCCTCTGAACTCTTACTGCTTATAGCTTATGGCTTCACCCCAATTCCCCTCACCATCTTGCGGTGACTTCCCCACTGTTTGGCCATATTGGAAATACTGTGTTGTATATCCTATGTGCTCCTTTGTCCTGCATCGCTTGTGTAGCTCGTCTTTAGGATCCCACTGAGGAAATGCAGAAGCAGTAGATGTCTAAGAATTTGATCATTTGATGCTCATATTCTTTTTTTTTTTTTTTTTTTCAATTATCAGCTCATAAAGTTTTTAACAATAGGGAACATAGATTCTATTCAGGGTTGGATTAAGGGTGGGTCTCGTGCAGTTCCGCAATTGTAGGTGAGTCTCCATGGAATACAGTTTCAGGAAAGCGGTTCTGGTAAGCAGAGATGATTATCAGTTGATGCGGCACAGCAGCCATCTTGTGATTAGCGGGAATGGTGTTGTGGGGATCTGCAGCGTGACTTATCCTCGGGTATCTGGCTTCCCTAAGAATGGTAGAGTAGTTCCTGTTCTTCCCTGATGTAATGCAGGGCTGGTAACCATCATCTTCTCACTGTCCATAGGTAGAGAAAATCCTCCTATACAATATATTTCTCAATTGGTTTAAGACAGCCAAAGTTTCTTTCTGTTGCTTATAGTTGCAAGTTCTTAATCCTTGTTTTCGTCTTCAGTGTCTTCAGTTTGCCGCCTGCGGCCAGCGGCCGCACACAGGCCCGGCGGCCACGCGCCAGCCCCCGGGGCCACACGCCAGGCCCCCGAGCGCGCGAATGTGCGCGGGACCCAGCGTCACCTCCCGTTCACCGCTGCGGAACACGGAACAGAGCCCCAGCCGCGCAGGCCCGGCCGCCGATGCTCATATTCTTTAGCTGGGTATAAAATTAGAATTGGAAATCATTTTGTTTCAGCAGTTCAAAGGAATTTCTTCATGAGTTTTTTGTTTGTTTTTAAGATATTATATAATTTTCAGAGCCAGTAGATGGTGTAGAGGTTAAGGTGGCTGGATCCACATGGCCAACTGCACAGTTTGAGTCCTGGATCCACTGTCTTTAAAATCATGTCAGGCAAGTGTGTGTCCATGCCCATGCCAAAAGTCCTGAAAGGAGAATGGAGGATAAGGGGTTGCAATGTGGCCATCCCTTTTAGGGATGATTTCTCACTTTCGCTCTCTCCCTCTCTCTTAGGCAAGCACAAGTATCCTATAGCAGACAAACAAACAAAAATTTTTATTTCCAGGGAATGTGAGCATTTGTGAAATGAAGAGAGAAAAACCAAACTCCCCTCCCCCCCATGGGGCATAGTCATACAAACACTCCTCCATTTCTCCATCCCAACCGGATTTGGAGCACACACATATGAACCCTGTTTCCCAACCTGCCAGGGGCAGAATTCAAATTCCAGTCCGCCTTATGGGATCCAGCTTTCTATTGTTAAAATTATTTTGGCCTAGGATGGCCATTGTACTCCCACATTTTGATTCCCAA